TTTTTTTCCTTCTGGTATGGAGTTTCATTCCAGAGGTACAAGGTTTTCTTCTTACAGTAATGGGTCATTAAATTGAGGTGTTTCATTCAGTTCCATTGTCACAGGTGTATAAAATCAAGCACCTAGCCATGCAGTCTGCCTTTACAAACATTTGTGAAAGAATGGATCGTTCTAAAGAGCTCACTGAATTTGAGCGTGGTGCTGTAATAGGACGCGGCCATTGCAACAAGTCAGTTCTCAAAATTTCTTCCCTCCTAGATACAACTGTGAGTGGTATTATTGAAAAGTGGAAGTGTTTAGGAACCACAGCAACTCAGCCATGAAGTGACAGACCACGTAAAGTTACAGAGCGGGTCGCCGAGTGCTGAGGAGCTTAGAGCATAAAAAGTCGCCAATGCTCTGCAGATCAATAACTGCAGAGGTCCAAACCTACTCTGGCATCAACATCAGCACAAAAACTGCACCGAGAGCTTCATGGCAGGGTTTCCATGGCCGAGCAGCTGCATGCAGGCCTTACATCACCAAGCACAATGCCAGTAGTCGGATGGAGTGGTGTAAAGCGCTGCCGCTGGACTCTACCACGGGGCTGTTTTTTCAGGGGTTGGCCTAGAACCCTTAGTTCCAGTGAAGGGAAATCTTAACTGTTTGCTTCCAACTTCGTGGGAACAGTTTGTGGAAGTACCTTTCCTGTTCCGGCATGACTGAGGCGCAGTGCACAAAGCAAGGTTTTGTTTGGTGTGGAAGAACTTAACTGGCCCTCACAGAGCCCTGACCTCAACCTCATCGAACGCCTTTGGGATGAACTAGAACGGAGATTGTGAGCCAGGCCCTCTCGTCCAACATCAGTGTCTGACCTCACTAATGCTCTTCTGGATGAGGGCAAAAATTCCCACAGGCTCTCTCCAACATCTTGTAGAAAACTTCCCAGAAGAGTTGAAGCTGTTATAGCTGCAAAGGGGGACCAACTCCATATTAATACCTATGGATTTAAAATGGGATGTCATAAAGGCTCCTGTAGGTGTAATGTGTAGGTGTCCCAATACCTTTGTCCATATAGTGTATCTTTTTATGTTTAATCCTAGTCCTGGAGATCTACCACCTTACAGTCTTTAGCTCCAAACCTAATCAAAAACACCCTATCCAGGGAATGTAAGCCTTCAGAGGCATCTGAATATCAGAGCGTGTTGGAAGTGAACTCTCTAGGGTAGTAGATCTCTAGGATCAGGTTTGGTCACCTCTGCTCTACAGGGATCAAGCCCAGCTCAGGGTAGCCCATATTAGGCTTCTAATGCTACATTCCATCAACATAATGTGATCTAGATCCGATGTGTTTATCGCAGAAACTTGTGTGGATAAAAAAATAATCTTAGTTTCGAGCAGCTCTGATGTTCACCATACAGACATGGATCACATCTGAACGGACATTCAAAATATGTTTGGTATTTGATACGCCTTTGTAAACCTTTCCGCTGAGCTCTGAGAGTGATTAAGTCCTTCAAAGCGGAGGTGCGTTTCATCGTCATATGTGTTTGATTTGTGCATCTAAAGAAGCCTAATGAAGAGTTATCTAAGTGTTTGCCGCAAGTTCACCCTTCCCTTCCCCAGACATCAAGGTCTCCTTACTTTTCACAGCCTGCCTCTGGTGCGCGCTCGTCGCGGCAGACTATTTCATTCCCTCTCTCTCGCGCTCTCACTCTGCCAACCTTGAAAGCCGCCCCTCCTCGGTTAATTAAGGCGAGCCACAACAGTGCCGTTCTTAATGACTGAATTGTGTACGACATTATCCTTCGCCCCGAAAGGAGCTTTTGTTTGCACCGCAAGCATGCATTCTCTTACCACAGAAGAAGAGAGAGAGCGAGAGAGGGGGAGAGAGAGAGAGAGAGAGAAAACAAGCACGCCTCTGCAGCGCTAACTCAATAATGACTTCCCACGGGGGGGAAAGAGAATACTGCGAGTGTTTGAAGTGCCGCTGCTGCCATGGGACTTCCTGCAGCCACATCGCTCCAGGAAGTTCCTCGCTGGGTTTTTATGGACCCAGACACTCCGCTGGAGGACCTGTAGTTGCTTTCAGGTGTGTTTATGGGATCGTGGTTGATCGTACCGTCTTCCCGAGTCTTCTGAAGCACATGGTTTTGAGGCCGTGTTGAAAGAAGAAGGGCTCTGAAGGAGAAAGCTGTTTCTTAATCAACTTTGCCTTGAAGGACATTGATGGTGTGGAGTTATGATCCTTCCTCAGCACTTTTACTGTGAGGAATCATGCAGTATGTGTCCTACTCCGGTTCTATAGAGTATCCTGCTCCAGGTCTGCCTGTGAACTTGGAGAATTCTCAGTAGAGTATGTTATAGTCAAAGGTTTTCTGTTTGCTCTGTTGGCATTGATTGCGTGATAATGTCAAAAGATTTCTCGATGGCTGTCAACTTCTCACACGATGTGGGTGGTTTGCACTTGGAAGCATTCCTGCCGAACTGGATTGAAGAGGTTGTTTACTTTCAGTCTTCTACCACATGGACACACAGACAAACACCAGACAGCAGTACGCTGCCTAATGCAGTCTGCCATCTCTTCGCTGTAAGATTGTTTTGTTTTTTTTTTCCTCAAAACTCTTCGTTCCTGAGCCGGCACACTCGAGGCTAAAGCGTTGTGTACACAGCCTCCTCCGGAGGCATTAGCCAACTCTCCCAGCCTCAATAGCTCGTCTCCACAAGGCAAGCGGGAGATCATTAGCCCTGCTCCGTAATAAGGAGGCATCTCGCTTCTCAGCGGTGGGTTAATTGAAGCACCAGGGCTGCGGGTCCTCTCAATAGCGACGGGGCGGCTCAGACGCACCCGCTTTTCTTCCCCTGGAGAATAACCCGCGACCCCAAAACCGCCCCAGAGCGCGACCTGCCCCTGGCCGTCCGCTAATCACCATGGCGATGAAGACCACTAGCTGCTCGGAGCTCTCAATAGTAGCCACTTGAGTTTTGGCAGCGACCCGGACGCGTCCGCCGCATGAATTATGCATACCGTCGGGGGCCCCCCCTGCATTAGGGTCTTTACATGCAGCACATTGTAGCTGATTTCTCCTCTTTGTCATGTTGCTGTTCAGTGTAGCGCTTGTCCTCAGGGGAACTTTTTGTGGAAGCATGCGGGACGAATGAACAGGGGCCAAGTTCTTGCTCTTGCTTGGTTAAAGTTTTGGTTTCATTTGCATGTGCTGTGTCCACAACTGTTTGGAGAAAAAAGTATGTGTTTGTGGGAATGTGTCAAATTGTGTATGTGAGCAAGAGTTCAATTGAGTGTTCTGTATTTTTTGGCAAATCATTCTGTGTGGGTAAGAGAGAGAAAGAGAGAGAGAGAAAAGCTGTCTCGGTCCTAAAATAATTACTCCACCAGAGAGCAGGACTGATAAGCATGCACTAAAGTGCTACTGCAGAGTTCTCTCAACAGTAGCCATGGAGACAGCTGCTCTGTGAGTTGAATGCTAACATCGCCTGAGTAGCGGCTCCTCTCCCCTCATACAAACTCCGGCTCTGTCTGACAGTCCACCAGTGGCTGTCTGGAAACAAAAGAACTTCATCTCCTACAAACTAAAGTTCAGCAGCTTGTTAACCTGGGCTTTCTTAACGTGTTGTTGACGACGTTCAGAGACTTTGTCTTTGTCGCCTTTACGGTGTTAAAATCTGCTGCTACGTCTGCCTGTCCACGTTGGTCAGTAAAATGGATCTGCATGTGGAATTGGAGCTTTCTGTGAGCTACCATGTTTCCTATCACTGTATAAAAGAAGCATGATTCTGCCTTTATTGTAACAGTGCAAGGTGACTGAAGTGTTTTTTGTTTGCTTGCCCCTTCAAAATGGTGACAAACCAAAACGAACTACATATTTTTGGCTTTGGTAGATCATTTTCTTTACAGGTGAAAATCACATTCTGCCAATAAATCAGATTTACACGATTTTCCACTTGATGTACGCCAGATGTAGTCAATTAGCCATGTTTGGTGTCCAGATTTTGCGTCCTAATGTAGGTAACGTTGCTAAAAAACATTAACAGTCAGTAGTCACCCATCTTTTTTCTAGATACATGCGCAAAACTTGGCTCAAACCCCATTTAGGTTTTCTTAATGGTCACACAGGCAGGTTTAGGACACAGTATGGCTTCCTGTGAAATATAAAAATAGACAAAAACTCGCAGTGTACCAGAATGCTTCCTTCAGCTGCTTTTTTGTGCTGAATTCTGATGAATGCTTCAAGTCAAGTCGAGTCAAAGTTCATTTATATAGCGCTTTTTACAAGTGTTGTCACAAAGCAGCTTTACAGAAAAAAATCCAGGTTCAAGCCCCCATGAGCGTCGCCAATGGCAACAGTGGCAAAGAAAAACTCCCTAAGAGCAAGAGGAGGAAACCTTATGAGGAACCAAGACTCAAAAGAGGAACCCATCCTCGTCTGGTTGACACCGGATAGCAAACAGCGTTAATATAAACTATTAAAATACAGAAATGGGGAAAAACAGGTGAAGCAATGGTTAATTAGATAGTTTGAGTCTGTGCAGCAGTCTAAAGTAGCTGCCCGGTGTACAGCTACGTGATGAGAAAGGTTCATTTTTGTAGCTCACGGTAAGTCACGCTGAACTAGTCTGCACAAACTTGGTGAAGGTTTGGTTTGACCGAGTTTGAGAGAAGTTTCAGGGATTTATTTACGGTAAAGATGAGTATTGGGTGACTATTGACTTTTATCAAGCTCAGCCTTGCAGCTCCAGTTTTAAACTAAAAGAAGCTAAATTTGGGCACCGACCATGTCTTGGCTGATTGACTATATCTGGGGTCAGTGAAAAATGATGTAGTTTTTTATCAAACCATTCCATTAAAGAAGAAAAGTAAAGATAAACATAGGCTTTTTAAAGGGCTAATAAAGGGCTCATCCTTTTGCATTTGAAGATCTTTACATCCTTCACTTAGCTGGTATTTGTATTAATGACTCTGCTGTCCAGTGTCACCTGATCACCTTTGCTTCACTCTTTAGGTCCAAGCATGTGGTCGCCCTGGCTGATCCATTGCGTAAAGCCAAGCTGCACAAGGACCACCTGGACCTGGAGCTGGCCATTCTGGAAGAAGCTGCCGAACTCGTGATCAAGGAGGAGGAGCAAGAGGAGGAGGAAACCTCCAGCAGCAGTAGTGAGGGAGAAGAGGAGGACTCCAGCAGCAGCAGCAGCAGCAGCAGTGAGGGAGAGGAGGAAGACAGCAGCGTCCCTCAGTTTAGAGATACACAAGAGAGTGGAGGAGAGCCAGAAGGGGTTGGCTTTCAACCTGAGCCCAGCCCCGGTGCACTGAAGACGGATGTGCCAGCCACAACCTCTCCCCTCCCCCAGGATTCGAAAAGGCTGATCCAGGAGCTGAGTGAGAGGATGGAGGAGGGGCTGAGGATTGAGGAGGACGTGCCTCAGACCTCCCACTCCTCCAGCAGTCGCAAGACAGAGAGTGAAGCAGAGGGACTTGGAGAGACGGATGAGCCTGCAACTGCGGCTGGGGGAGAAACGGCAAAAGCAGCGACCGGCGGCGCTGTGTTAGAGACTCCGCCGCGTAAGAACCCTCTACGTATCGTAGACGTTGGGGAACTGGACAGTGACGATGAGGACGAACCAAATCCCTGAGTGACATGACGAGGATCTAGGAAAATTAAATGGTCATTAATGGACTTTTTTTTGATTCTTCTCTTGAACTTATTCAAGCACTTTAAGGGAATTGTTGGACATCCTCTGCTTTTTTATTTGACCCTTTTTCCGTTATGTTTGCATGGTTGATTTGAAAATGTACATTAAATGTTAACCAGTTTTCCATCAAA